GAAGCCCGCCCCTCAGCGGGGCGGGCTTTCGATGATCGCAAGTACGATCTGCCCGTCCAAGGTGGGCAGATCGTACGAGCTTTCAATAAGCATACAACCATCGCAAGACAAAAGTCTTGCGATGGTCGTAAGGTGTATGGGCACCTTTACGTTGGTGGAGTCCAGTGACGATCTCCCTTTCGTTGGTGGAGTCCAGTGACGTGCCCCCTTACGTTGGTGGCCAGTGACGTGCCCCCTTACGTTGGTGGCCGGTGACGTGCCCCCTTACGTTGGTGGCCAGTGACGTGCCCCCTTACGTTGGTGGCCGGTGACGTGCCCCCTTACGTTGGTGGCCAGTGACTTGCCCCCTTACGTTGGTGGCCGGTGACGTGCCCCCTTACGTTGGTGGCCAGTGACTTGCCCCCTTACATTGCTGGCCAGTGACATGCCCCCTTACATTGCTGGCCAGTGACATGCCTCCTAACATTGCTGGCCAGTGACGTGCATCCTTACGTTGGTGGCCAGTGACGTGCCTCCTAACATTGCTGGCCAGTGACATGCCTCCTAACATTGCTGGCCAGTGACGTGCATCCTTACTTTGGTGGCCAGTGACGTGCCCCCTTACGTTGGTGGCGGGGGAGGGAAGGGGAAGACTATAGAGCAGTGGTGGCGAACCTTGGCACTCCAGCTGTTTAGGAACTACAAGTCCCATGAGGCATTGCAAGGCTCTGACAGCCACAAACATAACTCCCAGAGCCAGATGTGTGTTGGGATTTGTAGTTTTGGCCCAGCTGGAGTGCCAAGGTTCGCCACCAATGCTATAGAGTGTTACTTGACTGACAGCTCTGGGGCTGCTGACATCACATCCAAGATGGCGACCCCCAGCAGCAGTCTCGGAGCTTTCGGATGCCCACATAATGGAGGATTGAACCACAATGCACATTTCATGCAGATATAACGCTGTGGGAAGAACTGCTGCGAACAAGGAAGGTCCATGGGCACTTCCAGCCAATCAGCTGCGGGCTGGGATTCCCAGCTGCATGTAAACAAAGGGGCGGGATGCTTGGGCTGAAGTACTTGACCTTATATGGCCACATGTACCAAATATAGGCATGTAGCCATATAAGGTAAATTACATCACTGCATCCCGCCCCTTTGCTTACACCAAGCACTGGGCGGGGAATTATCTGCCTGCAGCTGATTGGGCAGCACGAAAGGAGCTCCTTCCAGGTTCGGAGGAGGTCAGGTTTGGTCTGAGCTAGGGATGTCTGAGCTCATCCCTAGTGATCACTATAGATACAAATACATCCTAATGGAGGTTCTCGTCAATGCTCGCTGGTATAATCCTTCTTCTTCACTTATAATCTGTATTCTTCATGCTACGGGGTCCAGCTGGGTCCAAACCTCTGGGACATACTCCAGCCTGATCAGCTCATTTCTCTCTTCTTTTTCAGAGCGGTCCCTCGGTGAATAATGAAAAGAGGGTTCCCCGGGAGCAATTGGTGAGTTAAAGACAACCTCCGGCCTCCTTTTCAGCACGGCAGTAATAGTTTTCTGTGTGTGATTTGTTAGATTTCTTTTCTCCATCTTGTTGGGGGGGTTTTATAAACCATCCGTCCAGCCATGTGCTAGGTCAGTGCCATTCACGTTCCTGCCACTAGATGGCGCCGAGGAGCATAGGCTCCGTCTAGTCGCTGGAATGCCATGCAAATGGAATTAGTCCAGCCTATGCTCTTACCCTTTATGTTAGCGGATGGTGACTACGATAATATCTGAATGCCTGACTCCAGCCAGATCTGTTCGGGGTCATGCACATGGGCAGCTGAACCTGTACAATGTAAATTCCTGTGTATTTTCCCCCTTCAGGTAGCCACAGGTGCTGCAGCCTCCTATAGAAGTCAATGGCTGTAAGCTGGTATACGTAAAACACACCCGTGCGTATGGGCACGCAACCCTGAACGCAGGCCGTGCGTATGGGCACGCAACCCTGAACGCAGGCCGTGCGTATGGGCACGCAACCCTGAACGCAGGCCGTGCGTATGGGCACGCAACCCTGAACGCAGGCCGTGCGTATGGGCACGCAACCCTGAACGCAGGCCGTGCGTGTGGGCACGCAACCCTGAACGCAGGCCATGCGTGTGGGCACGCAACCCTGAAGGCAGGCCATGCGTGTGGGCACGCAACCCTGAAGGCAGGCCATGCGTGTGGGCACGCAACACTGAAGGCAGGCCATGCGTGTGGGCACGCAACACTGAAGGCAGGCCATGCGTGTGGGCGCGCAACCCTGAAGGCAGGCCATGCGTGTGGGCACGCAACCCTCCGGCCCTCCAGCTGTTGTGGAACTACAAGTCCCATGAAGAATTATAAGATTGGCAGTTACAGGCATGGTTCCCAGAGGCAGAGACATGTTGGGATTTGTAGTTAAAGGACAGCTGGAGTTGCCCACTCCTTCCTTGCAGTCACGGAAGGTGCCATCTTGGCCTCTATTTGGATTGCAGATTGCCGTGGTGCTGCACATGTGATCAGCTATGACACCGGCCATTTGAGGGCATGAAAGTTCAGTTAAGACCTGAAATAAGCACACCGGCGACCCTAAATGTTGGCACGCCTTGAAAGTAACTGTTTTGGGAGACATTACATTGGTGGGTAGAGTTCCTCTTTAAGGTGGAATTTCATTACCAACCTGATAGACCAGAATTCTTTGATTAACACACAAGTTTGGCAGACTGACTTCACCCCTAAGAGTTGTGGCAGTCCAGGACTTTGTCTCCCCTGCGATCTTCTTTGTGATGGGGCTTTCTGGGCCATTACACGATTGTTATAACATTGTTACTGACCAAGTACACCCCTTCATGGAGACGGTATTCCCTGATGGCAGTGACCTCGTTCAGCAGGATAGTACACCCGGCCACACTGCAACAATGGTCCAGGAATGGTTTGAGATGTTGAATCCAAATTCCCCAGATTTTATTCCAATGGATCATCTGTGGGATGTGCTGGAAAAACAAGTCCAATCCATGGAGGCCGATCACCTCACAACTTACAGGACTTAAAGGATCCGCTACTGACTGCTCATTGCCAGATACCACAGCACACCTTCAGAGGTCTAGTGGAGTCCATGCATAGATAGGTCAGGGCTGTTTTGGAGGCCATAATAAATATATAGATATATACCCAGATAGTATAGTAAGTAAAGAGGAGTTTGGCCAAACAAATCCACCTCTATCACCCCCAAGGTATTCGCCAACTGGGAACAGAATGGCTGTAAGAAAATCATAATGGATTTTATCACATATATTTAAATACAAACGGCATTCACATGGGGACATATTGGGCAATTAGCTGGGGATCTGTAATTGTAAAACAAAGGTTAAGTTGCCCGTAGCACCCTATTCGGTGTTGCCCGTAGCACCCTATTCGGTGTTGCCCGTAGCACCCTATTCTGCGCTGCCCGTAGCGTCCCATCGCCTGTTGCCCGTAGCGTCCCATCGCCTGTTGCCCGTAGCGTCCCATCGCCTGTTGCCCGTAGCGTCCCATCGCCTGGTGCCCATCGGGTGGCACGTCCCATCGCCTGTTGCCCGTAGCGTCCCATCGCCTGTTGCCCGTAGCGTCCCATCGCCTGTTGCCCGTAGCGTCCCATCGCCTGTTGCCCGTAGCGTCCCATCGCCTGTTGCCCGTAGCGTCCCATCCCCTGTTGCCCGTAGCGTCCCATCACCTTATCCCTTTCTAGTGCAGAATGTGAGAATGAAAGGGATTGTCTGGTTGTTCTGGGAAACATGGACTTCCTGTGAGGCTAAATATGCTGTTATATCTGCACTACTATTACATGGGAAGACGTGATTCTCCTGGAGCCAGTTAGCCATCTTACAGACAATAGCCTCTTTCCTGTGTGCAATAAATGGCGGGTTCAGAGGTTAATGGACATTTTGACTACGGGTGCACCCAGATCCAGCATATTTGGGCAAGGCGTTCCCACCGCCTTCAAGCATCTCTCCCTTTCATCCCGGTGCCAGCTCCAAACTGTGTTTACATTACCTCAGGGGATCCCTCTCCACCCCACCCAGCCACACACTCCAGAAAGGACTTGGCACCAACTAATAGCTTGTGGAGAGTTCACCTGAACAAACACGGGCAGTCCATGCCAATAGTCCCAGCAGATTTTGGGGGCATGCCATCTCTAGTACTCGCATGAGTCCAGCTAAAAATAGCTCTTCATTCGTCATTGACCGTTCTAGTTCTTTCATTACGTGTTTCAGTGACACAAGGCAACTCTTGCAGTGTATCAGGCCTTTTAAAAAAATCTACCATTGTGATTGCTTATGTCCCACTGTGCTTTTAGCTTAAAGCCGAACTCAAAGGGAAGTTCCACCTTTTGAAAAAAAAAAGAAATGAATGCATGTGTTTATTTTGTTGCATTGGAGCCAGTAAAGCATTGCAACTGCAATTAGTGGATCGTGGGAGCAATGCTCTTGTTCCTGCAGACTCTTCCTCCCGTCCATTTTCGTACCTCGGAGGAAGAATGAAAGGACTGCAAGTGTGGTGACATCACTGCATGTGTATTCCATTGAGAACTTCAAGTCCCTCTGCCGCAGTGGTGGATGTGACTCGTAGTTTCTCCATGTTACAGATACTGTCAAAGGATCTGTGAATGGATGAAGCGGCTGTATGGGCAGAGCCACGCACAACTGTGCCGATCTCAAACACTAGCAGCTCGCATGGAGAAGAGCCCTGCGATACAGGTAAGTGGGGAGGAGCGGTGGGAGAGGTTTCTGCGATCTGACCAGTTTCATATTATACCCTAAATATGGGTGTAACTTGAAACATGGTCAGAAATGTGAACTTAGCTATTAACCTTGCAGCAGAGAACTAGGAGTGCACAACTGTGTGTGTTCTTAGGCCCGATGTCAAACTGAAAAAATAGAGCGATTCAGTGTTGTCCCGTGCCCCGAGCACCTCGGCGGCAGTGCCCCGAGCACCTCGGCGGGGTTGTCCCGTGCCCCGAGCACCTCGGCGGCGGTGTCCCGAGCACCTCGGCGTGCCCTCAAATGTTTTGACGAGATTTTTCTGCATGAAAGTTCGTACGAAAATCTACCAGTGTATGGCCAGCTTGGGACAGGAAGTGTGTTGCTGGCAAGATCACCAGATGAAAGTAAAGAAAAGGAAGCTTGAAAAAAGAACACTAATGCAGCCAACACATCTAAGGACTGTAATATGATACATTTTTGTTCCTGGGTTTAGGGAGAGAGCATTGGCGCGGGGACAGGTGTGATATGACAGGTACACTTCAAATTAATCATTTAAGAAGCGCAGAGGTGTTTTAACACACGCCATCCTCCTCGCTCCGGTTCCACATAAAGATGCCCCGGGCTACGTGCAGCTTCTGGTGGAGGGGGGGGGGGGGCCTGTGTGCGCAGTTGGACGTCTCAGAGACACTTTAGGCGAGATAAAGAGGAAAAAAATGGAATTACGCTTAAATTGCTTTTAGAGACCAGATTTCCATGTCATCAGAGCGTGCCTAATGCACGAGCTAAGTAGTTCAGCAAGCCTGTGTTTATATTGCATCAATCACGTATAGGAGGATGATATAGATATGCAGTGCAGAAGCCTTCTCGACTGGGCCCTGGGGACCCCGCTCCGAGCTGGAAGATTGAATGGGCGTTTCTACTCTAAATACATCTTCTTTTCCAATTTCCACTCTTTCTCTAAATGCGGCCGACAATATTTACTGCTTACCATTTTAGAAAGGCCGAGGTTATTAAGACAACAGACGCGACATTGAATTAGGTCACTGTTTCTGTTTTTTCTGCTGTAAGTCTTCGAGGGGGTATATATCCTCCGTGTGGAGGGAGGGAGCCATTTTTAAGGCATTTATTATGCCGATCAGGGACTGTGAGTGGATGGACCATGCATAATTAGAGCTGGAGTTTTGGGCCGACCCATTGGTCACTGGGCAGGCATACTGTGGATGGGGTTAACTGAAATGTCCGAACGTGTGTATATTATGGTTATGCTTGTTTGCTGTTAAAGGAGAACTATGGGGTCAGTGTTTTTCCCCATAGTTGTCCTCAGGGTCACGGGAGGACATAAACTAGCGTTCTCCCGTCACCCAAAGCTCAGTATATAGCGAGCTACAGCTCGCAGTATACTGAGACCGCTGCTGCTGGGATGGATCCCGACATTACTGTCCAGATCCACCCTGCTGTGTGATTGACAGCTGGCTCTGCCTATCTAGCTGTACCTGCCCCTCCCCTGTTCGTTCCTCCAGTCAGCGCTGGAGGATCGGAGCAGGGAGGGGGGGAATCCCTGCACTGTCAGTCACGGCTCCTCTGCTGGGACAGGATCGAGAAGTGAGCGAGCGACGGTATGTATTCCCTCACCTCCCGATCTATTGAGCCGACGTGTGACAGTTTCATTGTCACACGTCGGCTCGAACTATGAGGAGGAGTGAAAATCACTCACCTCATAGTTCTCCTTTAAGTCGTGTTTCATTTGCCCCTGGAAT